ACGTAGACAATCAAATATAAGAATATATACACCGCACTGAGCCTCAGGGAGACTCAGTAAGTTTTAGTATCGTATTTTGATGTGTTTACTACATACTGATGGGAAACGGCATCACTAAGTCTCGCCGTACCAAACACGTCGACCTCCGTTATCACCATATCAGAGAACTCACAGCGAACAACATCATTGATCTTAAGTACATACCTTCAGAACAACTCCTCAGCGATTTCTTCACTAAGCCTCTTTGCCGAGAAAAGTTCACAAATATCCGAGATAAACTTATGACTAGAATGCCAATATCAACTTAATTTTAATAAAGGTAAGTAATATAAGGTATGTATTTTATTGTTTCTTCAGAATGTAAAATACTTGCAACTCATACTGCTATAATGAAAATTGGTTGTTTGTGGGCGAACTAACTTCAATCAAACTGAATATCAATTCTCTGCGCAATTGATATATATGCCAATTTATGTTTATGTATTGCGTGTGAAAATCGGATGCCAGTAACGCAACACTAAATATGACAAAAACAACAGTGTCCTAGTTCGAATATTTACGTTGCAGGCACTCTACGCCATACCGCATTCCAAGTCAAGTTTAAAGTGAATAGTCCAAATAACACTGAATTATTGGACGTTTTTGTGCACGTATATCCAACTATTCCATAGCAGTGTGTCAAATTTGTGATACGAACTCTTTTTCGGTTATTTTTAATATTTTTATTCTTCTTCTATTTTTTATAACCTAAATTGGGAAAAATTTAATCCAACAACGATTTCTGTTGGTGGATTCGATCAAAACAATATTTTTTTAGCCCGATTTGTGTTGAGAGTATGCAGCATCGCCAAGATTTATCATCAACACATTCCATGAAGACAAAAGCTTGTCTCATTACAACCACGGCGCAGAAGGAACCTTACTCCAAGGATTCATACCATCGAAACAGTTCTCACACTATCTGGCCCCTGTTGCCAAAACCGCACATTTTTAAATTTTATTTTTTCTGCGACCCCGTGATGCCTGTTTCTAAACAGAAGAAAATCAACGCAAGTCGTGAAGCCTGTCAAGTGTCAAAAGTACACGGATATGCCTGGTATCTACACACTACAGTGTTACTTTGCAACATCTTTTCTGAAATTCAACAGGTCTCAGAATCTCAGCGTTGACAACTTTTAATAAAAAAACCCCCTACCGAAAATTTTACAAAGTTAACAATTCAACAATCCAGCTCTGCGACTTCAAACTTCACAGTGCACTGAGTGCAGACCCTTCAGGATTGTAGAATTGAGGGGGAGTGAGGGACTACAGATCCCAAGCAAGTTTCAATAGCAAGAAAACTCTTTTTCTTGAATGAAATCACAAGAGTTGCGTCGCTCCGAAAAGCGGATCAAATTATTAACCACATCATGTTAATAATACATTTGCTCCTATGAGAGCATTGCTCCAAAAGCCAATACCTAGGAGAGAATTGCTCTGAAAGCCAAGCAACATTAATTGATCGGAGTAAGAGCGAGTAGCAGAGATTCTGCTATAGAACAATATCTAAATGTTAAAGTGTTCTGCAAAAGGTTTCTCATACTGACCATATGAGTTTTCACCCTGGCCAACCCAAGCGGTTGAACACTAGCACAAACACCTTGAGTATAAAACCAAAGGTGAGGTTGTAAATAAAGATATACAATTACGCTTTATTCAAAGACTACCATCTTACACTCTAACACTGGGGGTGTGCTTCAGGTCCGTGGCTGCAAATGCTAGGGCCATGCGTTCGATACATGCGTCCTGTAGGATAGCGATGGTACCTGTGGCATATTGGACAATGCGAAGTCTGACGGGATGTTGAGCAAAATCGAGATTCTTCATACTGTAGGTGAGTGAGAGTTGGGAGAAGAGCTATTGGGCATCACCAGATCCCCGGGTGAAGCGGGCACTATCTCATCGATACATATAATAACGATGATGTTGCGGGTTGCGTGTGTCCAAATACATTCGTCTTGTGCGCTTTGTTTGAAACCGAGGTTACGGACGGTACGGGCCGATGTCTTGGTTCCATAGACGGCCAGCCTGCTTCAAGTCGTATAAACCTCGGAGAAGCTTAAGGACCGTGTTCGGGGAATACTATCCGAGTTCTACACTACCCCGCGGGTTGAGCATATATACTGGAGTGTCTAACTTTGAGTAGAGGTAGACCGTGTTGGCGTCGAAGTGATGAACTTCGTTGTTGTGAAATGTTGCCGTGGCCAGGAACGTTCGAAGCGTAGTAGCAGAGGCTGTGGAGGCATAGATGTCACAAAAGAAGTCATTATGCCGTTGTTCATCGCCGCGTGCAACCATTCGTGCCTTGTGAACAGTGAGGTCACCATTCTTGTCATGTTTTTGAGTAGATACGTATTCAGAATATATTACGTTGGTGCCTGGGCACACATGAGAGGGTAATGATTTCGGCGAGCTGGTTGCGATCGTGGGCAGCTCGTTCACGGTCGATTGCTGCTGCTCAGAGAGTCCATTCAGAAGATGATTGGGCTTTTGAAATACTTTTTGAACACTGTCGGCAAGAAAGTCGACAGCGTAGGTAAGTGTGAACTTGGATTTGGAAGTGGATGCGATAGTTTCAACTCGGAATTTGAGCTGATGGGTGTGGTGGCCCAGACGACGATGTTGGGAGGCGATCATGCGGCGGAGGAGCTGAAGGCGTGCGGGGTCATGGGGAGAGCACGAGATATGGTCGTCACGAAGGGAAGTGATACGGGCGCGAAGTGCGTCGGGTTCAGAGTCGCTATAGTCGGCGGCGAAACCAGGATTGTAGACAGGGTTCGAGGACGGTGTGTAAAATGTCGTAAGATTAGACTCAAAGCCGATAATAAGACTGTCATGAGGTGGAGGGGTGGTGACTGCGAGAGAAATTTGTGATGAAGCGGGTGGGAGCGGTATAGGGGTCGGTAGGGAGCGATCATTGTGGATTGGATAGGGAGAGGTACAAACGGATGAAATCCTTGATAATAGGACTGTCATGAGATGGAGGAATGATGACTGCGAGAGAAATTTGTGATGAAGCGGTGGGAGCGGTATAGCGGTCGGTGGGGGGCGATCGTTGTGGATTGGATTGCACATGGGGGGAGATCAATTGCGATAGGCGACGGGGGTATCGGTGGTGCGATTGTGGCAGATGGCGGGGGTATCTGTGTCGAGAGCGATATGAGAGTTGGTGGTGAAGGGACTGGAGGGGACTGGAAGGGGCCATAGTGGATATGGGACTGGAAGGGGCCGTAGTGGATATGGGACTGGAAGGGGCCGTAGTGTATATGGGAGGGATGGGAAGCAATGGGAGTGCTATAGGCTCAGGGGGCGGTTGGATTGCAGAAGGCAGTGGGATAGGAGGAGAGACCAGAGCAATGGGAGAAGGGGGTGGTGGCCCTGGGGGGACATAAGGGATTTCGACCGAAATGTGATGGTTGGCGGTCGCCCAGTCGCTGGAGATCTCCCGCGCAGAAGGGGTAGCACGGCGAGTGGCGTGTTCACCCGAGGCGGACCACTGAGGTCGTTCCTCGGTACAAAATTGTACATCGCGGCTGTGGATGTTTCTTTGGGTAGAGAAGCTCTTGGATTTTAAGGGTGGCTTCCGTGTTGGTGAGCCGTGTGGCCGAGAAGTACGCCAAAACCACACTGCGGGGCATATTTGTGTTTAGGGTGGATGGGGTATTGGGGTTGGAGCTTTTATGGACTTTAATGCAACAACACAACCAAAAGGCATGTGGGGGTATGCGGTGCGGGGTAAACAACTTGGGGGTTTTTTTTGGGGGGGGGTTCCGAAGAGTGTTGGCATATGTTTTGGCGATGCCCCAGAGAAGAAGGGGCATGCCAGCGTCAAGCAACAGACAGCGTACCGTGCGGGGTAAACAACTTGGGGGTTTTTTGGGGGGGTTTGGGTTCCGAAGAGTGTCGGCATATGTTTTGGCGATGCCCCAGAGAAGAAGGGGCATGCCAGCGTCAAGCAACAGACAGCGTACCAAGTTGTTGAATGTAGAATGTTGACGTTCAACTACCGCGTTCATCTGGGGGATGTTGGGTGGTGTAACACGAAGCTCCATGTTCAGCGACGTGAAGTGATTTCGGAGAATCTCGCTCTGGAGAGCAGAATCGCCATCGGACGCGAGGGTATGTGGCTTCCAGTGCCTCGGGTTATGTGTGAGGAGTTCACCAACCTGCTGTTCCAGTGGCATTTTGTTCGGCAAATTCTTGTGGATGCCGAATGTCGAGCCGGCATCGACCATATTCAGGGCAAAAATATCGCCGTCCGTCGCGGTCAAGCGGTATAGGGCCTTGGAGGTATATTTGAAGTCTCTCGCCAGGTCCGTATATGATGTCTGTAGGCTCGTATGCCACGCCCTTGGCGTGTAGCTTGGCCTCGATACAGATGGGACAAAGTCTTTCGAACTCGGGGCTAGCTCGTGTGTGCATATTAGTTGCCGTAAGTGCGCTGGAATCACGGACAGCAGTATGAAGGGGGCCGATAAGAGTGACGATAGTGTAGATCCAAGAAGGACGGCCGACAACAGCTGTGCCGTGGCGAAAGAATGTAGACTCAGTGTTGCGGAGGATGAATGGGTCCGATTGGAAACGACCTAAACCCTCCACCATTTGGCGCATTGTCGAAGGGGTATGACAATGGCTATTGTGGCACCGACTTTCGTGACTACATGGGTTAGTTCATATTTGTCGTCCCAGATCGGATATCCATAGACCTTTTTGAATAGAAAGTTGGCCTGACGTCAGTCATTATGGACGACGCCGCCTTCAGGACCGGCATAGCGATGTATCTGTGCTTTATTCTTGCTAGCGCAAATATCGATCGTCGGGTACCTGTTCAAGTGGGTCATGACTTGCTGCCGTTCGTCAGGGATGAGTTGCCAGGCGTTGGTGTCGACGAAGATGGAAGGTTTGTGTGTAAGAGTCATTCTGCGTTGTAGTGCACGGCGGATAGTCTTTTAACGGCTAAGGTGCCCATTATTTCGGTGGAACTCGTCATACTACATGGTAGTTACGTTAGTGGACGGGCTGCTAGAGAGCGTGAGGTCTGGAGGGGTATGTGCAGGTGGTGGTGAGGGTGGTGGTTGAGCAGGAGGACTAAAGCCGTTTCGTCGTAGGCAGAATATAATTAAATAAAGTCAATTGGTCGATGTTGTCCTTTGGTATTGATACACGTAGTGATGTTTGCTGGGTAAACTAGTTTGTAGCCATTGTCTTGGAGAAGATTTTGTGATATCAACTGTTGTATGAGCGTGTCACTGACGTACGTCATGCCAACGTGTGGGAGAATACCACGTTCTCTGATGAATGTGGTAGATTCACCCGCAAGTTGAAGGGGATATCTACTGCGTTCGATGTTTGTTAACTTAGAACGTGCCTGGGTGTTGAAGTAGTATATTGTGGCACCACTATCGATGAGGAGTTTGGTCGCGGTTGGCTCGCAGGTGGTGGGTAGTGGTTGGCTCGCAGGTGGTGGGTGGTGGTTGGCTCGTAGGTGGTGGGTAGTCAGTGGATGCGTGTTATGTGTGCAACGCGTGTGTGTGTCTTACGCTGGTGTGGGACTGAGTAATGGAAACTAGCTTTATTGGAACGTTGACTACATGTACACTATGGCGAGCTGGTTGGAACGGTTACAGTTCGTGGAGGTCATGTTTGCAGTTGTGCACTCACGAGCAGTATGGTTTTTTTT